TTCTCGTTTTTTGAGAAAGGGTCTTTTTAGACGACACTTGAGGTCTTTAAAATAGCAAAAATAGTTGCTTTATTGCAAATCTTTTTCTCATGTAAATATTCTTAAACTGAGGTTGGATTTCAAATATGGTATGCAACATCTATTTCCTTCATAATACTGTTTCTCTGCAAGATATTAGTGTTGATAGGACTACCAAGAAATATGGAGCATTAAACCAGGTTTTCTGTTACCTTGATATAAAGAAAAATAAGAAGCTTGTATGAAATGTAGTGTTTCATCAGCTCCTCTCAATGCGTATGCGGTTGCATACTAACTTGAAACATTATATTAATCAGAGTTATCACACAGAGCTAAAGAAAGCACCGGCAGCAAATGAAATCCAAATGAATTTTAACCAAACTGCGAATGCCACGATGGAGCAAAATCTGATGAAAAAAGAAAAAAAAGAAAGGTGGTGGTAAAATGTAAATAAATAAATAAATAAATAAATAAGGGATGGAAGACATTGACACGATATCAATGTTGGGGGTGACTACTTTGTTCCATTCACCTTATCTTTATCAGGGGAAAATCTATCAGTCTCTCTTTCCCAGGTCGAACCATTATCAGTGCCAAATGGAGCAGCCAGAGTTCGCATGCCTGCCTTCATCTGGCTGTCAGGAGACGCTGCTTTGTTTCCGCTGTAAGCACAAAACCACGGTGATATACGATGTGAAATAACTGCCACTTATCACATACTGGGGAATCCGGGCTGTGGCCCGTACGCCTGGCTTGTGCTTTGTCTGGCTCTTAGGAGGAACAACGAGCATTTATAAATGTTGTGTTTCATCTTAAATCCAGTTGGTGGATCAGATTTTGTACTTCACCAATGCTTTCTTTCAAAGTCAAACCCACAGAAAGTTTTTTTCTTTAATAAGCTTCATGTTTTTTAACAAATCATAAACTTCTCAACATCGATTTTAGAAACCACGTATGGAAAATAGGCTCCAGGTTCCAACACACATTTTTCCAGGTTGAAAAATGTGTGTTGGAAAACATTAGAAAATGACAGCATCTCAACATGTAGCGATGCATCCTCGTCAAGTTAGACTTCTTATTTGTGTATCTAAACAATGTCCTTACTTCTTTTTCTCATCATCTCCAAACCAGTTCGGTGGATTGTAGGCCTGCCTTGGTTTGTCATCACCATCACCATCATGACTCAACAGCCCTGCAGGGGGGTGGGAGGGATACAATGTTCAAAACACTGTCAGCACTTATGAAGCACTGTACCATCTCTCACCTTTAAAAGCATAAATTGATGTTTAACCAGTAGTCTATTCAGCTCAGGGGCTTAACAATTAATGTACTACAAAATAAAATGTGTGTTTTAGGCCGCATGTGTGACAATTCCCATGCTGCCCACTATTCTTCAGCATTACTACCACACTGTTGACAGGAAAAACAAATCCTATCTGGAACATTCACATGGAAATCGACATTGACCTTTTCAGTGCAGGAGACTTAATTGTGCATGCACAGCAACAATTGCTGAGCAGCAGATTTTCCCCCCAAATATAAATGTAATGTAAATGCTCCGTATTTGTATTTGCCTTTCTAGTCTTTTTCAACCACTCAAAGCGCTTTTACATGATTTTACACTACATCTGCATTCACACACTGAGCCTAAGTGCTCAAACAGAAACTAACATTCACATGGGTCTGCAATTCAGAGTTCAGTATCTTGCCCAAGGACACTTCGACAATTTGGTGCTTAGTAGATAGAATGTGTGCCAAACTTATCAAAAAACCTAAAACATTAGTAAAAGACAGCAAACCATATTAAACAACTAGTGTACAGGGTCTTAAAATGCCAATATTTATACTGGAGTTTAGTGTTGTCTCCACTGCTCCTTACCTCAAAACAAGAAATTTATTTCTGCCATTGTTAAAATACTTAACAAATAAATATACTGAGTCTTGTGCACCTTTGTGGAAAGAAAGACAAGCTATTTTAGCTAACAACTGGAGCTATAACCCATAAAACAATAATAGCTAAAATTTGCAGACATTTCATGTCAAGTGATCCCACTTTGCATAAAATATTCATGTGGAACTCAGCCTAGAACTTTTCAGTACAAGAGACCTACAACAAACGTGTGTCCCCTGGTAACTGAAAAGAGCCATACTGCAGTTTCAATAAACAAAAAGAGCTGTAATGTTTTCCCAAAATGTATGACAAACATTTTTGGAACAGGTTTTCTCTTTCATGTGGACCAATAGGCTGCTTGTTCAGGATTTGCACTTCGAAAGACTTGAGCCAGAAGTGGTGCCAACATCAAACGAATCAGCTGGGATGTTTGTTTTTAATACTCAAATGTGATAACTTTTCTACGGACTATACTTCACTCTGATGGAATGAGCATGTTTTCTCATCTAAATGTGCGAAAACACTTCTGTTGCAGTACAGCAAGAAACTACTGGATATTGATAGATTTGTTACCAAAATTTAAGTCACTACAAATTGCAGGCCAATATATCAAGTAATAATTATGGCTGTTCGAAAATATCATTTACAATAACCCACTGAGAGCATCGCTTTCACACAAGCAATCCTTTTAAGTGTGTAAGCATTTCAGTGCATTCTGCCATAAAAATCTGAGGGTCAGCATCAGTACAAATAATAACACACATTTTAAGCTCAGAGAAACCTTTACCTTTGTGCCCCCCCCCCTTTGCAAGCTTGACGTAGTCCGAGTCACTCTCAAATATCCCAACTCGCCGTCCGCTGGTCCTCTCCGCCGGAGTACTTTCGTCTGCGCTCTGGGACAGACCGGGAATCTGGGAGGTCGGTCCAGTCATGCCGGCATTCACAACCCCAGGCTTTATGCCTGCAATAATGTCAGAATTACATCTGCTTGCTTCGCTATGTGGCTCCTATTATGCGCAAAGTTATGCTTCATTGGCAAACTGGAAACATGTTCAGCCAAATTCAATGATCTAAAGTCATCCTTTCTTGTCTTCTTGTTGTGACTTCAAGCTATGAAGCTAAAAATGTCTACATTTAGTGTTAGAAATGTTGACTATGTTTAGCTTTGAGTATTTGAATGCATTACAGGTGATTGAGCCAGAGAATGTTTTGGATTTTGGTTTGGAAATGGAGGCAAATACATCTTGAAGTATAATTTAGTCTTACCACCGGGCTTGGTCCTTCGATGGTTGGGTACAGCTGCACTCATTTCAGCTGAAAACAGAACACAATCTGATGACCAAAGGGAAAGGGTTTGTTAAGGCCGAAGTGAAACATACCATCAATTTAAGGCTACCCATTTGTGAAATAATCAAACATAAAATATGAACTCATGGCCTAAGTTAGCAGTAGCTTGTTGGTAAAATCTGAACACATCCAAAACATAAAATGTACATTTTAAAAGATGTCTTGCCCCCCCCCCCCTCACACATCTTCCACCATAATGGTCAGTGGCCTAAAAGCATTTCTATAAATTTTTATAAAAAATTAATTGCTTAGTGGGTAGTGTGCCGAATTTACCAAAAGACCAAAAACATTCATTAAATCTAGCAAATCATGTTAAATACGTGGTGTACCGTTAATTGATAGAAGCGCCATCAGCAATTAGCAATTTTTCTGATGGAGTCCGGCCTTGTTTCTCCGTATGAAACAGGGCGGCCCGTCTGCGCTCTTTCATCGTAGTAGCGGCAATTAATTTATTGTTAAGATAACTAACAGATATAGAAGGACTCTTGTCTGCGTATGTGTGGAACAAGGAACATTAGCTAACAATTGCAGATACCGTCAATAAAATACGGCAAAATTATGAGACATTTGAAAATATAACCCAATTTGCAGAGGATGCATTCATGCCATCGGGTGTAAAAATTTAGTTTGACCATACACACAATGTACTGCCTATATATAAAAGCACACAATATTGATAGACATGCTACAAGCATCTTTTTCTAGCGGCATAGTTTTACTTAGCAATGTAGCTAACAAAGCCATGCTAACTTAGTTAGCCACCTAGCTTGTTACCGCAGTGGCTTTTCAGCGCCAACCTTATTTGCGCTGCAACAAAGCTAGTTTTTAGGTAAGCAGCTAACGATACTACTCGCAGAAAATCAGACGCGTATCTTACTTTGTATGTTATTTAGCTTTTGTTGAAATTATTGAGCGGCTTTTTGCAATTTAAAACCCGTTAGCTTCCTCTTGTTCGGCAAGGTACCCGGCTGCACCGCACACACTTCCTGTGGCACCTGCTACCGACTTCCGGTAAATTCCGACAAAGCCTGACGTCATTTTGTAGGAAAGTCAGCTCTGGTTTTTACTATCCACAGCAAAAGGCGAAGAGCGCTTCTTTAATTATTAGGACAGACTGAGAGCTCGTTCCAATATATAATGTGCTATAACGATCTTTATTCATTTCTTTACAAATGCTTTACAGATCAATCATAAGATATAATTAACAACAACTTGGGGTTGCCAGATTGATTAGACTCATTTCTAGAAAGGGCTGTAGATTATCTGTACCAAAACCCATTTATTAACATCTTCACTTCATGATCAAAATCCTTTATTAAATACTTATTAGCGTTTATACCTGCAGACTTGATGGCTTGATAATAAGTGGGAAATCCATTAGCATTTATTATTGATTACCAACATCTATAACTGCATTATTACCAAATAGAACGCATACACACCAGCTTATGTTTCTTTTTCACAACCTGAAATCTATTAGTTAATGATAAAGCCATTAGCTACAACTTAATTATTAGAAAGGGGCACAGTTTACCTTTGCATTGATTATAGTACTTTTAACAGTGTTATTCCAATGTGATACTTATATTTTTAACCAACAGACTTGAGTAGTTTATTCATGCTATTTACGTTTGTTCTACAATATGATGGCTTAAATGCACATTTTCCTTTGACAAAGACTGAACTGAACTGACTCAGCTTGTTTCCCAGACAAATTGAATCACTGATGGCCAATAAGCATTTATCAAATTCAAAAAATCTTTATTATGCTTGACAGATTTCATTAAAACATAATTTATCTAATTAGAATAAACAGCATCAGTAGTATTATATTAACTCTGTTAAGAACAATTGCCATCACAGTGCCACCTATTAAAACAACTTTACTTATGCTCTAAAATATCTATTAAAAAGGTTATTTTGATGCCACACACAGACTTTCATCATGCAGACCTCAGCAGTGAGAAAAGGTTAATGTTTATGAAGCCAATACATGATACAAAACGCGCAACAAAGGTCAGGTTAGGAGAATGCTAGTGCTCTTTGACTATTTTCCAGCTTGAAGATCACTCAGAAGTCTTTGCCGCAGTTGGGGCAGAGGACGTCATCTTTGCACGTCAGGAAACCTCGACCGACCAGAGACTCGTGGCACTTTTTGCAGTTGAAGCAGTCGTTGTGCCACTGGCGCTGCTCAAACGAGATGTACTTGCTGCCCCCGAGACCTGAGACAAAAGCAACAAAGAGGAGCCTTGAGTGACCTGCAAAGGGAATAAAATGAGCTCAACAGTCTTATGATCTCTGTAATGTAATAACACAGGCTGTAACTGATGGTGATTGGATGCACAGGATGCAGAAAGGTTCAGTCCATGTTAAAGGTGTCATTAGTGCTATGTCTCCTTGTAAGATATTCCCCAAAATTATGTTGCTATATGTGCTGTGTTTTCACCTTGTTTTATTCAGTATTTTTGGACAAATTAAGATTTTTAACAACACAATAACATTTTTGTTAGCGTTTTTGTTTCTGTTAAATCTGTGACCAAAAGTATGCAGCAGTGTAACAGTTATTTCCCTTGTTAGGGCCCGTGCACGAACTGTGCGAGGTCCCTATTGAAACTGTAAAGATTTTTTTTTTTTTTTAGGGCCCAAGCACAAACCGTGTGAGGTCCCTATTGAATTTGTAAAGATTATATATTTAGGGCCTGAGCACGACGGTGCGAGGTCCCTATTGAATTTGTAAAGATTATTACAGCCCAAGCACGACGGTGCGAGGTCCCTATTGAATTTGCTAAGATTATATATTTTTAGGGCCCGAGCACGACGGTGCGAGGTCCCTATTGAATTTGCTAAGATTTTTTTTTTTTTTAGGGCCCGAGCACGACGGTGCGAGGTCCCTATTGAATTTGCTAAGATTATATATTTAGAGCCCGAGCACGACCGTGCGAGGTCCCTATTGAATGTGCTAAGATTATATATATATATATATATATATATATATATATATATATATATATATATTTTTTTTTTCTGCAAAGTAGGCTCCATTGACGGGGCCTAAACGTACTCGAAAACTCACCAAAATTTGCAAACATGTCAGAACTGGTGAAAAATTTCGTATTTTATGGGTTTCGCGCATGGGCGTGGCAAAATGACTCGCTAGCGCCACCTAGAAAATTGGAAAAGATTAGCCCCTCGTTCACGTTCAACCTACATGTATGAATTTTCTGGGGACATGTATCATATCAAGACGCACAAAAAAGCCTCAAGAACCCATAGCCTAAAGTCAACAGGAAGTCGGCCATTTTGAATTTTACGGCCATTTTTGGATGATTTACACACTTCGTACTTTAACAAACTCCTCCTAGGGATTTAGTCAGATCGATTTCAAATTTCTGCTGTACCTTCTAAAGGCATTGACGATGAAAGTTGTGCTATCTCTGAGTTCAGTGATGGACGTGTCCGTGGCGTGGCGTCAAAGATCAACTCTTCGCCATGACACAGGAAGTTGTTGTAACTTCAGTGTACATGCTCACATCTGCACAAAACTTTACGTGCTTGATAACTGTCCCGCCCCGAACACATCTATATGCCAATATTTATTTCTAGTCATAACGCCAAGTGCTATGTAGCGCCACAAAGGGGACACAGGAAGTGACGTATAACGCCTTCATGCAGCATCCGAAGCGCGTAGCAAATTCTGACGCACCCGTACTAAGTTTCACCTACATGTACGAAATTTCTGTGGTAAGAAAGCAAGAAAGCCTCTGGGAGCCATTGCCCAAACCCAACAGGAAGTCGGCCATTTTGGATTTAATGGTCATTTTTGGCGATTTACACACTTTGTATTTTAACTAACTCCTCCTAGGGATCACGTCTGACCGACTTAAGATTTGTGCTGTGCACTCTAAACCCATTGACGATTAAAAGTTGTGTGAACGGGGAGTTTTGGTGGAATGCCGTGCCCGTGGCGTGGCGTCTTAAATCGATGATTCGCCATTGTAACTTCAGTCTACATGCTCACATCTGTACCAAATTTGGAATACATTGTACGAGTCCCGCCCTGAACACATCCATATGCCAGTATTCACTCAAAGTCATAACGCCACCTGCTGACAACAGGAAATGACACATTTTACGCTGTAATGTACTACTCCGAGCAGGTTTGACATATCAACTTCAGAACTGTCCCAGAAAGCCCATAACACATTGATGAAGTCATGTTGTTAAACTTGTGAGTTTGCAGTTAATGGCATGGGGGTGGTGTGGTGCCGAAGTTCTGCGCTTCGCCATGACATAGGACGTTGCGTGCGAGGGCCCGCCCAACACTGCTTGCAGCTTTAACTTACACATTAAGTTCACTTTATTTTTACGTTACTCAGTCTGTGAAAACAGTCCATCTGTGGCTCTGGAGGAAGAAAATAAGCCTGGTGAAGTCACATTTCTCAGCTTGGAGACTACAAATGTATAACACAAAGCTTGTGTTTACAAAGTAGGAATGCGAACACATGAACCTTCACCAGCAGGGGAAGTGAAATATACTGCCGAAATGCACTGTGGGAAATGTTTTGGGGCTTGAACAATTATCTGGGCCTCTGCTACTTTGATTATGTCCATTACATTTTTAAAAAATGTCTCTTGCAAATTATACCTTATGAAAGTACAACACAAAATCCCTGGAGCAGCCCTTTAAAGGGATTCATTTCTCCCTAGTGTTTTAATTGATTTTGTGTTAACCTGTAAACAGTATTAGCAGCCATACTGGCTTACTGGAATTATGTAGTGGTTTATGGAGAATAAACCTAGCCTGAAAATCAGACTGAATCACTGAATGAATCAGAGATGTGGGTGGGTTAATTTAGAGGCTACACTGGACATGCCTGTCTGATTTAAAAAAACAAATATCTTTGCTGAAACATCAACAAACCTGACATCACTGCAGTATAAAGGCTGGTAACAAAATGGTTTCACAAGCAGCAAGCTAAATTCAGCAATTTACTGTTTTTTATGTACATTGTGGGTTTTTAAAACAAGTTTATGTTAATATGTTTGATTTGCCCAGATTTAATTTAAAGCTTGATTTCTGTGCTGATAAAAGGATCTGTTCTAATAAACTTAACACAACTCCCAACTCCTAGAAGTGCAGGTTAAACTGTACCGCTAATTGGGGTGGTGCAGTAAGCACATTTCTTGGCAAACAGGTTGCAGAAGCAGTTAAGGCAGTAGGCGAAGTCATCCCGAGAGGTGAACCGTTGGCCCGCAAGCTGCTGCTTGCATGCGATGCAAACGAAGCACTCCTTATGCCAGGGCTGGTCGTGGTAGATCACTCCTCCAGTGGTGATGGGCTGAGGGATATGGCGTCATACGTCATTTATATTGTCAAAAGTGTCAGGTGTTAAACATTAAAGTTTACTTAATAAAAAAATACAATATGTTGTTTAGTCATTAAGGCCCATTTATTAGCTTTTTCGAGAGCTTTCAACAGCATTTCATGTTCTTCATCAGCAGATGGAGTTTGCTTAGTTGTCATGAAGATAGCTCAATTGTTGGTATACAGAGTGGAGATCTGTCTTTGTTCAAGCGTCTTTGGCGCCAGCAAACTCCAACCACTGAAGAAAACCACAAGATAAGGTTGAAAGTTCTGTAAAAGGATAGAAAGTGGACCTTGACGCAAGTTTTTTCAGGTCAAAATCAACATCATGAAGTCATATAGCCTATTCACATGATTAAATTAATCATTCATCAGTTCAGTCCAAAGATTTGGTGTCACTGCTGTAGTTCATTTACTGTTTTCACCTAAGCTAAGCAGTCACATCACCGTTCAAATATACGTCAGTACGTCACTCATCAGCCTTTTAGTAAGCTTTTAGGAAGTACTGTGAAGCACAACTGAGCTGACAACAGAGCACTTGGTGAGGAGCTCAACTGCTAAAAGCTACTGGTTCAGTCAGTGACAATAGTGATACAGTATCATCAGCTGAGCACGTTGATAAAGATTTGTTCATACATGTAGCCTGCTGAACACCTCTACAGTGCGCATTTCAGCCAGAAGCATTCAATAACCAATCATTTAGAATAAATTAATTCAGGTTTTGACTGAATTTTGGATGAATTCAACAAGTATGTCACCACAAGGTGTTTAATGTTTTCATTTTTAGCTCTGACTGGCTTCTTCTCCATAGCAACCAGCAGCCCAGTTAGTACCAGTTTGTAGATGTTGCAGAGTTCGGTTTGCTATTTGCATGTCACGAGGCCCCGGCTGTGAGCTTGGTGTGAGTGTTGTGAATGTTGTATGGAGTGCATGTTGTGAGCCTGTTTGTGTTTTTGTTTGTCTGTCTCTGCTTGGACTGTTGCCTCACAGCAAGAAGGTTGTGGGTTCAAATCCCGGTTGCCCCGGCCTTTCTGTGTGGAGTTTGCATGTTCTCCCCGTGTCTGCGTGGGTTCTCTCCGGGTGCTCCGGCTTCCTCCCACTGTCCAAAAACATGCAGGCAAGGTTGATTGCTTACCCTAAATTGTCCTTAGGTGTGAGTGTGAGCGTGAGTGGTTGTTCGTCTATGTGTGGCCCTGCGATGGACTGGCGACCTGTCCAGGGTGTACCCCGCCTTGCGCCCGATGTCAGCTGGGATTGGCTCCAGCCCCCCGCGACCCTGTACGCAGGATAAGCGGTTGACAATGGATGGATGGATGGATGGATGGATGATGTCTCTGCTTGGCTCTCTCTCTTTCCAGTCTGGGAGCTGGGTGCGTGTCTGCTGCGGGCTCTGCTCACACCTGAGACTCATCCTCATCAGCGCACCTGACCTCTGTTCCGTAATCAGCCACGGCTTAAATAGGAGGCTCAAACATCCAGTCCTTGCTGGATTGTTGAGTAGTCACATCTATGTTGTGTCAGCCCCAGCCAGCCTCAGAATCTGTCTTGCCTTTTGAATTATTGTTTCCTTGCGATGGTCTAACCTGTTGTCTCTCTCTGTCTCAGAAGACCTCCATCAAGCCTCAGCAACCACCAGCCAGAAAGCTCTCAGTTCCGCCCGCAGCAACCTCGGATTTCCCCCTACCCTGGATCTGGAAGGGAGCCTCTTCCTCTAACTCCTGACTTCCCCGCTCAATCTCTTTGAATAAATTGTCTTTTACTTAGATCTGCGTTTGGGTCTTCTCTGCCTGGAAAATCTGACATTACAAAAGGACTGCTGGTGTTAAACTGCCCGCAGATGTCTCTGAAGATGCAGAGCTCCTGTGCATGTATGTAAACCCATATACTGCTTAATTTGTCATTTCTGCTGTTACTGGCAGAGTCAGATGACTGCTGTCTCTCATAAGCTTTTAGCACAAAACGATGCCTCAGATGCCTGCTGGCTTAACCATCTGTTTCCTGCCCATAGCTGTTATAGACCATACACATCTCCTTCACTGTATGTCTTTTCATAACTACACTAATAACTCTCAGTCCCGGTGAGCACAGAACTTAATTTTAAATTCCAGTCAAAATCCCATGTGTTTAATGAGAGCAAGCCTGGCTTCATTACAGGAACATTAAAATGGCGTACAAGACCTCTGAAATATTTCAACTTTAATATGAAATGCATTCAAATACTCCTTGGGTTTCATAAAGCTACCCATTGGATGTCTAAGGGAACAATCATAGTTCATGGTTAACTTAAATGCCTCTAACTTAAATGTGTCTATTTGTGCCCCACTTATTTTAATTATAAAACAGACAAAGGAGTATATTAACTCTCTTGTTGAAGTAAAATCTATCTGGCACAACATGGTGTCCAGCTCCTCATACTTTGTACCAGGCTGCTGGGCAGGACAGGTTAAACATTTTTTATTAAAACTTAAATGCCTCCCAAACAGAATACTGATCTTGTTGTCCTCTCAAGGATAGAGGAATTGCTCATTAGAGACCTTGCTGCAACCTCACAAGCATTTAGCACAAACAAAATCACTTGCACTTCCAGAGAATGACTGATTACCAATCTACTTCAAAGGCAAAACTACTCATTGATAGCTGCTGGAGACGACTACAAAATACAAATGCAATCAAAGCCTCTCATGACCATTGATACAAGTGAATCACAGTGTGTTGCTTTACCTTCTTGCATTGGAAGCACTGCTGGGCAAACTGCTTCTCATAGCAGGGCAGGCAGTAGTTGTTGGTGTCCTTCTGCACAAAGCTCCTGGTGCCGATGGGCTGCTGGCAACGGTTGCAGGTGAAACAATTCTCATGCCAACTGTTGGCCTTATGCTCCATCTTTTTAGAGCCTGGTGCGTGGAGGGGGTTGAGAGAGAAAGAGAGAGGGAGGGAAAGAGAATGAAGACAGAGATAGGAGTTTTCATGCCAGCAAATGTCGTGATTTCATTTTAACCTGCACATCAGCATGCAATCAATCTCTAACTCACTAAAGATATGACGCTATCACACTTTTTGGGACATCTCGATTGACCACATCATCTGTGTTTTTATGTCTACTTCAATAATTACATGTACAGTAGTCCCCGCTATCCTACTGGCATTCCAATTAACCTCAACATATACAGCTAATAGCACTTTGCTGATGTTGTTTGAGCACTGTAAGCAAATTACGTCTCATCTAAGACCTAGAAAATACACTTTGTACATTAAGTTTTGTAGGCTACCAAAACGCCTATTGCCATTTCTTGTACACCTTTGATTTTGGTGTGTTTTTTTGATTTTATAAGTGTGTACATATTTGGGCTATTTAAATCACCTTAGTGTTTCTAACCTGATTAAAATTATGAAAATAATGGAAATAGGAGCATAGCAATCAAGAGAGAAAATACAGAAATAAAAGTAGTCAGTCACTAGCATCACCTAATCGCTAAAGCTAACTGATGTATCATTCCAAATGCAATGATTTATCCATCCTTTAGCTACTGACCCAATCTTTGCTTGTATAACCTTAAACTGGTGAACACTGTCTCTGTGAGAATGTCCTCCTCACCTGGCATGATGGTCTTCAAGCATGAATGGCACTTGGCAGAGTACTCGTTGCTGTAGCACTCGATGCACATTACCATGTCATCCTTGGTGGCAAAAGGCCGTTCCACCAGAGATCGGTTGCACTTACAGCAGAGGAAGCACTCGCTGTGCCAGTGGCGGTCATTGTAGGACAGATCCTGCAGAGTCAATGAAACAAGACAATGGTAGCTTTTGTTAGAAACCGGAGGAAGACTGAGGAAGTTGCTGCATTTGCCTGTTCTGGTCAAAACGTTTCAACAACGGCAGAATTAAAATATCAATATACATTTCAAATAAAAATTCCCACTTAATTATTCTGATAACTGTACAGCTGAGGCTCATGGGAATGCCATTAGTTTTGCAGATATTTGGCCATAAACCAAAGAACTGTGAAATTTTGACTTGATGATGGCACTAGATTGAAAGTCAGGGAATCACCAAAGTTATTACACTTCATCCTGAAGGAGAGATGAATGTCTGAGCCAAATTGTAAAGCAATCCATCAAATAGTTGTTTATGTATTTCAGTCTGGATCAAAGTGGTGGATGAAACGCCGCTATTTATGGCCAACAAGTAAGGTTATACCCAGTGACAATTTTCTGTCAGAAATTAATGGTTTCTTTTAATAATGAAAAAGAACAAATGAATTAAACCTGAGATTGCGTTTTAAGCAAGCCTGAATATAGGTTCAAGATTTTACCTTGCTGGTGCAGCTAATCTGTAACTGGCACACTTCGCAGATGTTGGAGAAAAGTGTCTCGTAGCACTTAATGCAGTACGGATTGTCATCCTGTAGGATGTACTTTGTCCCAAACAAGGTCTCCTTACACTCTGTACAGTCGTAGCGCTCAGCCATTTTGACTGAAGGCTCCTCTCTGAGTCGTCTGTCCTGTAAGATAAAACATGAAGACATTCAAAAACAGTGCTATAAAACTGATGTAATTGCAGCCAAAACATTTCCAAAATTTAATATCTGTCGCATCTAAACTTGGATTGGATTACTGTAATCTCAAGATCACATTGTCCAATAAATTATATCAAGCCCTATGGTCATATACCAGGTGCAGAATGTAGCCCTTCTGAGCTTCCTTCCAAATGTAATTGAGTACCTCATACAACTAATTACACAGAGGAAAGTCACAAACAGCCTCCAAATGAATGGGCAAACACTGTAGAGTAAATACCTTCCACTTTTTTAATGGACATGACATGACTTTTAAATCTGGTTCATTTGCTCCAAAAGAGTGTAGCTTTAAATCTAAGGATGTCTAAATTAGCCCAGATTCCTCCAAATTCCCCCAGGAAAATTAATGGCGCCATCCATCTGGAGAAAGAGCTGAAATTTTGAGTAAGACAAAAACAATCAAAGTTTCGATGGATGAAGGGAAAAGCAATAGGGAGAAAAAGGAAGAATTATGAGAATTTTTCAAAAATGAAGGAGCAGCTGAGATAAATGAAGAAAGGGCAAACAAAACACAACAAACAAGAAGAAGAAATGAAAGAAAGTTGGCATTGTCATCTATTGCAGAGTTTTCAAACTTTTATTCAGATTGATGAGGATTTTGTGGGTTATTTTTCAGCAAACAGCATCATTACAGGTTTAAATATCAGAGGACGATGTGTGGAAGACGTAGGATTGCTGCATAAAATGCAGACTCTAAAAAATAAATTATTGTTTAGACAACTGAATAATCTACAAAGGAAAGAAGTCATGCTCTTCTGGGCAGTTCAGTACACAGTTGATTACATTACTAGAGCCTACATGTCTCCCAATTCCACCATAAAAGACAGCTGACATTATTATCTTGTCATGCAGTTGAATGAAAGCTGCCCTACTATGAACAGGAAGTTGATTTAAGGATGGTATCCAGAAAAAGTGGAACAGTGTTCTGTCTTTTCTCAGAATTAGTTAATTTAAGTATTTTAAAGTAATTGAATAAATTTTATTAGCCAAAATACAAAGGTTGCTTTTATATGGACATCAGATGCAGACTGATCAAAGAACAGTCAGAGCTCTCACATTTGCCTGTTGACAATCATTGTTACATGCTCTTAGTTGATAGCCAGAGGTTTAATTTGTTGGCATGTAGTTTGCAAATGCCTTTTCTAATGAATTAAAAGTTTGGACAAAACCATCTAAACATGTTTCTGCACATTTTAAACTCTCCTCTCTTCTGTACACTTGTCACCCACCAATGAAACTGTATACCTCCTCTGTGCCCCGCTCTAAACCCTATTTACCCTCTATTCCACTCTATAATCCCTCTGTATTTATCTGTACTATTCTATAAACCCTCTATACTGTTTACACTTCCCCAGTAACTCATTTAATCCATCTCTAAAGCCTCAGTGCCCTCTGACCTTTATAACCCCCTTGCACCCTCTTGAATCTTCTGTAAACCCTCTGTACCCTTCTCTAAACCCTCTATACTATGCTTTAAACACTTTGTAACCTCTATTCTGCTCTATACTCTTTCTGTATTCCTCTATAACACCCCTCTATAAACCATCTACACTCCTCTATAAATGCCTCGTACCCATTCATACCTCCATCTAAACCAACTACTCTCTTCTACAGATCCCCTGCACCCTCTATATTCCTCAGAAAGCCCTTTTCCTTTACACTCTCCTATAAACCCCCTGTATCCTTTTCTAAATCTGCTGTACTCTATATTACCCATCTGTACCCTCTATAGTCCCTACATAACCTCCCGCCCCCTTCACTTCTCTGAAGCCAAAGAAATTCTTTATACTATAAAATCTCCCTAAAAACCACTCCATACTCCACCTGCCCCCTGTACCCCTTCATGCCCATATCTAAACCCACCCACCTCTATAAACCCTCCATACCATCTAAATCCCTCTTTAAAACCCCTGTGGAGCCTAAAAACTTCTCTTCAAACACCTCTCTCAGCCCTTGCTTCCCCTTACTTTGATTCTCCTATCTCCCCTCTCTATGCCTTATACCCTTATCTTCAATGTACACCACTCTAATGCTTCAGCTGAGTTTACTGAAACTAGATTAATTTTAAGAATCTACTGAGCATCAGCAAAAAATTAAGCCAACATCGTAAAACCTGACTGAAATACTACAAGTGAATGAAAGAAAAAGTGGAACCTATATCTCCCCTGCATCAAAGCAGTTTTCACCCTGATTTGATGTGTCCCATGGTTCCTTTAGCTCCACACAACTTACAGAGGGGATCCTCCCTACCTTACCTAGGTAAGTTGATCGGGGTTGGAAGGGTGTCATACATTGCTGTGAGCAGAAAGGAAATATGAAAATGCTCCAGGGGCCATAGTTCAGTCCACATGATGGTTTTCTTAGGGAGACCCTATCTTGTCCAGGCACCTTGAGTTCCAAGCTCAGTGGATTTAGCTCTTCTTCCTTCTTCCTCAAGGCATCAGACTTCATCCTATATGGAGGGTCTGCCTTCTCTGGTTGATTGCAGTGCTGTCAGACAACTTCCGCCCTGATCTTGTTTCTATACCTGCTTCCTGATGTGTAGGTCTTGAGAGTCTGTATACAAGGAGAATACTATACTGAAGGAAAAGGGAGTTGGAGTTGTCCAGATCTTATGTAGAGCACAACAGATGTAAAAACCAGGGGGTATTCCCAGTCATCTCCACTTCTTCTACATATGGCACTTGATACACAGTGATGGGCCATATAAGTCTTGGAAGCAGGCCATGTTGGTAGATCCAACACTTATATTTCCCTGACAGGCCAGACTTGTCAAGCTTCTTCAACCACTCTTCAACTGATTGTTCTGATATGGATATACTGTTTTTATCTGTCAGGGTATCTTCATACCATTTCCAAGGCACCTGATTGGGTTCCATTGGATGTTTGGGATCACATCCCATTGTCCTTTTGGATAAACAGATACCTTCATTTCTTGGGCTTAAAGGTAATCTTTACTGAAGTGGCCATGTGGTCAAGTGCCACTAGGACACATCTCACCTAAACATGGGTTGGGTATTGTCATAGAAAAGATCTTTCCCTCCAGATAATGGTCTGAACCTGGCTGAGTTGCGCAGAGCACTGTTCTTTGGGCACAAATGACCCATCTGCTCTTCTCCAGCTCGGGCCCAAATTCCCTGCATAGGCTTACAAAGCCTTCAGAGGAAATTGGGGCATTTTTTGTTTCCTTTATATGGTAAACCGCTGGAACCTGGAGCAGACTACAGAATCTCGAGCCATGCTAGCAGCTCTGTGAGGTTGTACATATAGGCACAGTGGTGCTTTGAGCTAAACGCTAACACATCTTGTCAAGTGTGTTGTGAATGTCATTTGTTTGCAGTCTTAGTTTAAGTTTAATTAGCAAATGCTAGCATGCTAACTTAGCATGCTAATGTGAGAAACAAAGGTGGTGGACATTATACATTAGCCTGTACCTGCTAAACATCAGCAAGTTTGCTGATGTTTGCTGATGGTTGCATTGTGGGGCGGCTGTGGCTCAGGAGGTAGAGCAGGTTGGCCGTTAATCGGAAGGTTGGCGGTTCAATCGTGGCTCTCTGGCTGCATGTCGAAGTGTCTTTGGGCAAGATACTGAACCCTGAATCGGCTGTTCCACCAGTGTGTGAATGTTAGTTTCTGTTTGAGCACTTAGGCTCAGTGTATACAAGTACGGAGCATTCACATGTTAGCTGGAAATTTGCTATACGAATAAACTCACCTTGCCTAATGTAATAAATTGATTTATATTTGAAGCTGTTCCAGAGAGTAGGACCTCTGTTTTGTTCTAACGCTCTAATCAAAATAATCACTTACACTCACTACAGAAATCAGATTTATTGGCAAGTACACACATACAACGAATTTGTTTTGGTATTTTGGTGCATAACAATAAACATATTAGGTAGAAAATAAGATAAAGAAAAGCTAATCAAACATATCTTGAATTCAGTTTGATGGACAATTTTTAAAGACCAGCTGTTGTTGGTCAAAAGAAGTAGACCATTAAGAGATCAAACTCAACACAAAGCTCCTACCCAGAAAACACCATATCGCTTGCTTAAAAAGCTAAGTAAATCTGGGTCAGCAGGTTCTCACAATAGCATGTCAACTCAAATAATCCCTTAAACCTCCTCATAAATCTGGATTTTACTCAGGTAATTGCGAGAAATGTAGCAATATGATGATTCATAGGACAGAAAACTGTGGACTAAAACTGGCAGTTATTTTACACATCACAGACATGAAACATTTGAAACAGGAATAAAATCACCACAGATCTCTGAAACTATTATGCATGACTGGAAAATAGAAGAGAGAAAACCAGAAGTGGAAAAGCAAAGAACACTGGGACAAAGACAAGACACTAAAGAAGGTATAAGTAAGGAAAAACGTCTTACCTGTCAGCGCAGCCTGTATCAGATCAGTAGAGACCAGCAGTGTCTACTGAGCACTGTAGAACATCTCCCTTTTAAAATGAAAGCAAAATGTGACCCACAGTGCGGCAGGAAGGTGGAGGCAGCTGGATGCCCAGAGTGGGCAGGTCAAGTTATATTTAGACTGCTATAAACTCCCGACAACTCCCACAGTAAAATGTGGAACTCTTAAATTTTTGAACATTTACTTACAGAACACAGAACTTGTAAAGATGAATGCAATGTCTGCATGGAAAACACAACACACATGCACACACGCAAAAAAGAAATCAGATGGTGAAAGCGCATGTTTATCAGCTTGGCATATTATTTCAAGATGTCAACATATCAAACAGCTATTGAAAAATTTAATTAATTTAATTTAAAAGTTTCTTTTCACAGGTTTGGATCTTGTTTTATACTAATCTCAGTGATTTCACATTATCCCAAGGTTATTAGGACATAACACTGATGATGTGTCTGAGTGTTTGGATTGAGAGATGTGTGATAAACTGTCAAAGTGACAGGCTCCATGACAATTTACAGGAGCTTAACAGCAGCCACATGTTTGTCTTTAGCCTAATTCTTGCAGCTAAAATGTTTGACTGGAATAATCTATCCATGTGTGACTCCAATGAGTGTCATTATGTACTGCAGCTGGATGAAAAGACATAAATGGTAGTTCAATAGTGAATAGTTGTTCATGTTTTTTCTAGAATTAGATTTTCTGCCGCATCATAGTGGTTTAAAAGCAACACAATGTGTGATTGTCTTTTTGTTTCTTTGAATTTTGTACAGGCCCTACCTTACACACCAACACACTGTGTGTAAATATATATGGGTAATCTAATAATATAACATGATCATGTAGGGTGCCTGCTATTTTTCCCTGTAAG